ATTCCTGGAGTGTCCAAGGACGCTGTAAGGCACAGCCTGTGTTGATACTCGTGATTCAGTGTCCGCAGCTCTGCCCTGAGCTCATCTCTGGTAGCTGGCTCACAAAAAAACCCCGCACCTCTTGACCACAATCAGCTCTTAAAGTCCTGGGGAATCTGATTCCCCCGGTGACCACGTGCCTCCCCTTTTGCTCTGACACAGCATCGGTGCCTCGGAGAAGAGGATGTCACCAGGGACCCCTGCAGATCCCCAGCAAGGGAAATTTGGGTCGGGGTGCTGCCAGCCCCAAAGAGCAGGAGCCGTGGGGCTGGGAGGCTGTCCCGTGCATCACCTGGCCCTCTCAGCCTGCTCTCTCCCCTTCCCCGCAGGGCTCTGCCATCCCTCGCAGCGCAAGGTAAAATGAACAAGATGAAAAACTTCAAGCGGAGATTTTCGCTCTCGGTTCCTCGGACGGAGACCATCGAGGAGTCACTGACGGAGTTCACGGAGCAGTTCAACCAGCTCAACAACCGGAGGAATGAAGGTAAGGAGCCCTGGGCCCTACCGCGGTGCTGGGACTGGTCGGGAGCATCTGGGGTCAGCGCTGCCAGCAAACATCTCCGCTCCAGCCCCGCCGGCCTTTCTGTGGGTGTGTTGACATGTGGAAAATTATTGCCTCTTTGTCTTGTGTTGCTTTCCTCATCTATCCATCAGGATTAATAGCACCTTGTCATTAAATCTGATCTGAAGAGAGATTTATACCTGCATAAGGAAAGCCTTATAGGAGGGAAAGGTATTTGCACGAAACGGAGAGGAATGACACCAGCGCTGTTAAGGTAGAGAGTGTGGAAGCGTGGGATGTCCTTCTGCCTGCCCCAAAGTCTCGGTGGTGGTTGAGCCCTCTGCAGAGCTCCAGGCTGACACTCCACCAAGCCAAAGGCGCTGCTCTCTCTGTGCCAGGGCTCGCTGAACCATCCAGTGCTCCCAGACACACAGCCTGCTCCCGGGGGGCAGTTTTCAATGTCCTGGGGAGCAGGGAGGTTGAGGGTTAACATCTCCATGAGCAGAGCGGGGCACATCCCTTCTGCAAACAGAGCAGCCGATGCTGCAGGCTGGGGCAGGCTCTGCTGGCTCTGCTATGGGCATATCAAGGGAGAGGCGATGCTCGAGGCGTAAACCGGGAGCAGATCATGCCAAGGCGGCCGTGCATGGACAAGCAGGCAGAGCTGCTGACAGGCAGGCGTTTGGAAACCTGATAAAGTTAATCTTGATTCATCCAGGGGTAAATCTGCTGCTGCCGGGGGACGGCTGAAACGC